GCCATGTTTATCCTATTCATGAACTTTACTAGGAAACTCACCTTGGTGGCATGAAGGGATGTTGGGATGTACGCTAGATACCTTGTACGAATGAGTTCTCAACCATGATAAGGCTGGAATGCTGGTGGGTGTCAGGAATAAAGTCACACGTCATAAATGTATAAGAAAACGGGACGAGAGGTACCATTGTAACAAGCTACCCAGCGGTACCAAACACGAACTGTTCCTGGCATGTCCTGTACCTGGGTGAGAATGGATGGAGATGACTTAGATGAATTCTAAGTGAACAAGTTGGGTATAAAAGGAAGTATGGAGACCATACTTCCCTGGAAGTGCGAGACGACTCTTGTTGGAGCAGGGGACGCCCTGAGTCTGATTCCCAGCCCACTTTAGCACAGCCTGATCAACTGTGCTGAGAGTGAATGTAAGTATTCTGTGTGAATGTGTAGCCTTGTAGGGCAAGAATACCTACAGCAACTTGGGTAGCCTTGTTGGGCAATTGATTATTGATTCACTGTTGTTAGCATAGTCGGGCACTTACATTTATTGCTAGCCTTGGTGAGCATATATTTTACTGTAATACATATTACAGGAAACTAAAGAAATTGTATGTATTAATCAACTTTGATTAAACACTGATTAAACGCTTGCTTTGCTTTCTGTCCAAATAACACAAGAATAAAAGAACTAATTTTGAACTCTATTTTGAGTGGATTCAGTCAATCATTTTGTAACACAGAGGAGACTGTTTTATGCAGACTCAAGGATGAGTGAACAGCGCTTTAAAGGGCAAGTTGCCTGGAAACTGAGAGTCACTGGGAGCAACTGGCTCAGGACCATGAGTGGTTTGGGGAGGGGGAGGGGGAGGGAAGGAAATGACCCATGCCATGACATTTTGATGCAAATGATGTGATTTGCATCACATCATGACATTATTGCATCGTTTGTGCAATGAAATCATGATCCCAATGACATCATTTTGGCATTATTGTGGCTTACTATGTGTGCTTATAGTCAGGAATCCTGGTTTGTTTTTTGAAGAGCAGCTGCGGCTTGCCTTCTGCTGCACTGCCTTGATCTGTAGGGATGCTGATGGCTGGGTGGGTGGATTTTGGCAGGCAGGCAGGCTCGGATGCCCAGGACTCAGCCTCCCATGGCTATCAACGGGGTAATGCGCTCTCCCACCGAAATCCGCAGTGAAAGAAGCGACGCTGCCCGAACCCGGTCCCCTTTTGCGCAGGCTCAGCCTGTCCCTCCTCCTTCATCCCCGGAGAAGCATCCCCACCGGAAGTGCAGCTGTAGCCAATAAAACAAGGTGGCCGCGCTCGAGGCTGGACTGTGGCTCCCCGCGCGCGGACTGTCGGGGTGTGCTCGTCCTTCCCTGGGTGCCATTTGGGAAGACCGCGGCGCGAAGGAGGAGGCGGGGAGCCCGGCGTTTCTGCGAAATCGTTCTGGGGGGTGGGGGACGGTCAAGAGCGAGCAGAAGGTACCGACAATAGGAGGGCGCAATGCTGGAGGAGCGACGGCGGCGGCAGCAGCAGCAACCGCGCGCTCTGGTCCTGGGAAGGGAGATGCCCGGGAGTCGCTCCTCTTCCTGCAGCCTTCCCGGCCCGCTCCCGTCTCCCCAGGGGGCGTTTTAAAGTTTCAGGATGGCCGCACCCCGGATTAAGCAGGAGTCTCGCGTTCAAGCTCGTCTGCCGAGGGGAAGGGAAAGCCCGCGGCGCGGAGGGTGCCGGAGAAGGCGGCTCCGCTGATCTGAGCCTACCATGCCGGCGTGGGGGCGCCTGGTTTGCGCACAGCCTGAGCTCGCCGCTGCTGTGCAGGAGGACGGCGCTGCAGTTCGGGAGCGAGGCCGAGGAAGTGAAAGCGAGACGGGGAGGGCGCAGGGGGCCTCTTGCTCCCGCACGCGGAGCGGTCTGCTGGGGGAGATGGGTGCCGGCCAAGGGAGCTCCCGAGCGGAGGCAATGCCAGCCTGTCTTCTGGGCGGGAGAACCCCGTGGAGGAGCCCGGCAGGACGAGGCGGCGGCGCCCGTTGAAGCAGCAGCCTCGTCTCCGCCCCTGCCATACCTGTGCCTGAGCGTTGGAGAGAAGGGGACTGTCGCCGGCCCTGCTAGATGGCGAACTCCAGCGAGCTGGGAAGCAGCAGCAGCCCCCACCTGCCCAGCCCTGGCAGCCTCCTGGGCACCTCTGGCCTGAAGCTGGCCACCCTGGGCTTGATCCTTTGCCTCAGCCTTGCTGGCAACCTGCTCTTTGCTTGGCTCATCCTCAAGGATCGCCACCTGCACCGGGCCCCGTACTACTTGCTCCTGGACCTGTGCCTGGCAGACGGCCTGCGCTCCCTGGCCTGCTTCCCCTTTGTCATGCTCTCGGTGCACAGCGGGGTGGGCTTCTGGCCCCACGGGCTCCTCAGCTGCAAAGTGCTGGCTTTCCTGTCTGTGCTGTTCTGCTTTCATGCTGCCTTTCTGCTCTTCTGCGTGGGGGTGACGCGCTATATGGCCATTGCCCATCACCGCTTCTACGCCAAGCGCATGACTGGCTGGACCTGTTTGGCTATGGTGTTCATGGTGTGGACGCTCTCCATGGCCATGGCCTTCCCCCCGGTCTTTGACGTTGGCACTTACAAGTTCATCCGTGAGGAGGAGCAGTGCATCTTTGAGCACCGTTATGTCAAGGCCAATGATACCCTGGGTTTCATGCTCATGCTCGCCACAGTCATGGCAGCCACCCACCTGGTTTATGTCAAGCTCCTGTTCTTCATTCACAGTCACCGCAAAATGAAGCCCGCCCAGTTGGTGCCAGCCATTAGCCAGAACTGGACTTTCCACGGGCCTGGAGCTACCGGGCAGGCAGCTGCTAACTGGACGGCTGGCTTTGGCCGGGGTCCTACCCCTCCTACCTTGGTGGGCATCCGACAAAATACTACTCATAGCCAGATCAAGAGACTGCTGGTCTTAGAGGAGTTCAAAATGGAGAAGAGGATTTGCAAGATGTTCTACATGATCACCCTCCTGTTCCTGCTTCTCTGGTCTCCCTACATTGTGACCTGTTATTTGCGTGTTTTCATCAAGGCCAGCATAATCCCCCAGATTTACTTGACCACCTCTGTCTGGATGACCTTTGCCCAGGCAGGAGTCAACCCTATCCTTTGTTTCATTTTCAACAAGGAGCTTAGAGTCTGTTTCAGATCTCACTTCTTTTGCTGCCAAAGCATACAGAATACTCAAGGCACAATTCTGTGTGATCTGAAGAATTTGGGGATATAGTTCATTTTTCCTTAAAAAAGAAAAAAAAAAGTTAAAAATGTCTATGCTTTTTTTTGGCATGTGCACTTGCATCATGATTATCTAAGCAAACCTCTTGACCTCACCAAACCAGTAGGTAAAAATAGGGTATTTATATCCAGATTTCTGGTGGGGGGTGGGGGGTCTTCTATATGTCTCTGGAGGGTGGGAAAGCAGAGAATAAGACAGGTTCCATTTTTATCTCTGCTCTGCATTTCTACAGATTATTCTGACATGGATTAAAGGCCATAATTTTGTGTTAATTTTTCTTCCCAATCTTGCCAGTTTTGATAAAAGTTTAACAATTTTATTCCTTATGTAAGATTTGATAAAAGGTCAAGACAAAATTTTGTACTAAAGTTATTTTTGATGACCTCAGAATATTGTATTATTAGGGTATTTGTCTTTCAAGAGCAATGGAAATGAAGAAACTGAACTGTGTTTAGAAGTCACTTCTTTGTAGGGAGCTTTGGGGCTAATTTTGTTTCAGTACTTAAAGATAACTTTCTAGCTTTGCCTGAAAATATGGATACAGTCTTATCCTAATTATACTAGAATCATTAGCTCATTTCCTACTAACCTAATGAGTATTGTGTTCACTTACTCTGATGTAGAACTAATTTAAACTTTCTTGTACTGTTTCTTTAATAGTATTTCAGACACTTACGAAAAATGGTAATTTTAAAAGAAAAAATGATCAACTTTTAAAACTGTCAGGATCAGGTTTTTAAATTACACTGACTTTCATACTTTACTGGCTTTATAAGATCTTATCTACAAACTGGGTAATGCTTGTATATTTGAACTGTTTTAATAAAACACTCTCCAGTTTTTGTACATATATGACTTTTAAATGCTTGGGTTATGCTTTGCTTGCCTTCTCTTGTCTTTATATAAGCATTATTTGCCTACAGACCATTCAAACAACAGGGTTTTAAAAAAAACAACACTTAACTTCAAGTTATGGTCTAAACCCATAGGATGGTCACTTATTTTGGAAAGTTAGGCAGGATTGGACCTGGTTGGGACTTGGACGGGAGACCTCTAGGAAATCTCAGGGTGTAGTCTACAATCTGAAGTCAAAGGTCCTGGAAGAAGGCAGTGGTAAACTACTTCCTTATAGTTGCCCAGGAAGCTAGTGAACTAGGAATTGAGGCTAACTCAAAGGAGACTTTAATTTTTACTTCTATCTATCCCAGTGTGCTCCCATAGGACTCTCAGTGGTTTCACAAAACTACAAACTTTAAAACATTTATTTATTCAATTTATATAGCCACCCATCTCACCTGTGTGGCCACAATCCCATAACATCCAAAAAATATAAGGTACACAAACTAGAAAATCCCTTCCAAGAAAAACAAGACAGGCAGCAAGCTCCAACCCTGTCCAGAAGAATTAATCTTAAATGCCTTTGGAAAACAGCTAGAGTCAGGGTTAGTCTAGCTTACAGAAAAGCTTCCCTTTCATGCTTTAGTTGACCACACTTCCCCAAAGTGGAGAGCCACATGCTGCTTTTCCTGGCAAGATCAAGTCAGTTGAACTGATGATTCGTGTGGCTGAACGTAGCCCTGAAGGTACTTGGTGCCAAGCCATAAAGGACTTTAAAGGTTAATACCAGCACTTTAAATTGCACCTGGAAGCTAACATGGGTTCTGTAGCACAGATCTAATACGTTGTGACTGGTGAATGCCTGATAATACATGGGCCACTGCATTTTGGACCAACAGCAGTGACCTTTAAAGGCAGCCCCATGTAGAGCACCTTGGAGTAGTCTGAGTGGTGACAAGGTGACCTGATAAAGAAGTTGTGCTTATAAATAGAATTGTGTTTTTATATATTATAAAGGGAACATTCTGAGGATAATGATATTTTAGGGGCATCAGTAGAATGACTACCTTCCCACTGACATACATATCTGCCCAATCTAATTTCTATTTAAAAATAGCAGTTCATCTGCTAGTGTCAGAAGAGTCTCTAGACAATTGTGGACTGCAAATTTTAGTAGACAAAGCAGTTCCTGCACATAATTGCTTATCTGCTTATGTGTTTTGCACCGTTACAGATTATTTTAAAATTACCAATATCCTAGGACGTTTAAAGATGCAGATTACGGAGCACATAGTTTCTAAAACTAAGCTTTATTTACTGTCCCTCATTTACTTTTAGAAATTACCTAAAGACTGCTTTTTCTCCAGTCTGTTTTTAACAGCAAAGAGGCCAAAAGTATGTAATTCAAAACCGAATGATCAAAGTAAAGCACTGCTCTTCCAGTTCTTTCAAAAATGGAAATGTTACAATGTTTGGAACACTGAAATAATAGTAAAAAGTAATGGGGCATTTTAAGAGATAAGGAAATAGAAATATATACAAACTGTTTATGGTATTTAAACTTAAAGTGAGATCTTATTTCTTTTAATTCCTGAGTTGTCTTCCTGTTTAGAGAAAGCCTCATTCCTTTGATTCAGGTGAACTTTCTACTGAAATTGATCATGATGATGATTACGTGCCATCGAGACGTTTCAAATCTTAGCAACCACACAGATTTTCTCCAGGGGGATCTGTCCCTAACCTGGTTCTTCAGGTCTTCTGAAAGGTGCCCCCATCGCCACTGTAATTGAGCCCATCCACCTTGCTGCTGGTCATCCTCTTCTTCTCTTTCCTTCCGCTTTCCTGGCATTAGAGCCTTTACCAAGAGCTGGGTCTTTGCATAATATGTCTGACGTAGGATAATTTGAGCCTACTGAAATCGGGGATTTGTGCCAATGCCAGACCACTGTTGCCTCACCCCAGCTTTCTCTCTTGCACTCTCCTGGAAAGGACCCAGTCCTTTGGGACAGATTTTCAGCAGGAAAAGGAATTTGCTGTCAGTTGCCTCCTCCCTACAGAGCATACTCAGGGGAGATCGGAATCTAAGTCATTGTCTATTATGTTAACAAATGAAATTGCATTGTTTGGTGTGTTTGGAGAAGTACAAACGCTTTGTGACAATGAATTTAAATATATCCAATGTTAGATTGATGTAAGCTACTGTGCATTCCAATCCTTTGCATGTTTACAGGAATTTAGGGTGATTATTAGAGTATGCTGTTATGTTTGTGCTAACTGGGGAAAAATAAACCTTGAAAACAGTAACTATCCACATTGCTAAGGCTGAAAAGTTGTAGTTGACCACTAGATGGCAACAAAGAGGGTCATCTGTATCATTTTGCTGCCATCTAATGGTTGTTCAGATTTTTGTAGTCCAGATATGGTAGCCTTAGCAGTGTAATAAATAAAATATATGGTTTTATAGTCTAGATTTAGAAAGGTTATCTGATCTCGCTTGGCTCTAGAGATTTACAAGTTGAAGAATAATGGAAATATGGAAGTTCGTAATCCTTTATCCCTGATAGGTTGCAGCAAACAGCTCCTGCAAATCTGAAGTAACATTTAAATGTCCTAGCCGTATATGTGAGAGTTGATATATTGCACTGTTGATGACACAGTTTGCATTGTATGGAAAGGATGCCCAGTAATCTATAGTTACTGGAAGGAGGGGGGAATGCTACTTTCAAAGAAAATATCCACGCTTTCATCTGTTATTGAGTCATGTAACTCTTCCAGTTGCATGAGAAAGGCTTGTGAAAAAGTAGGTCCTGTATAATTTGGGTAATGTAAATTTACACCATAAATTAAGTTTACATTAACACATTACACTAATCAAGTTTATTTTAATCTTGTTTGAATGAACCAGAATGAGTTGGTTTATAGTGAATGCTAAACTATAAACTGGTTTAAAATATCAAAATGGCTGAGTTCATGCATTTCTTTATTTATTCGATTTAGATAGCCACCCATCTCACATACGTGATTCTGGATGGCTTACAAAATTAAAACACAATACCAAAAAATCAAAGGGTAAAAATAACCACACAAGCTTAAAAACATTAAAACAATTTAAAAAACCATACACAATCAACGAGAGAGCACCATAAATTCAGGAACAGTACAACCATTTTATAGGCTCCCCACCACCGCTACTTGATCCCCAGGCCAGATGACAAAGCCAGGTCTTCAGGCCTTTCCAGAAGCCATCAAGGTCAGCACCAGCCTGACCTCCGAGGTGTGGTGGGGGTGGGGAATGGTGGATGCAGCAGCAGAAAAGGGTCTCCTCCTGGATCCCGTCAGTGACACTGTGTAGTGGACGGAACCCATAGCATGCCCCTTCTGCTGGACCTGATGGAAGGGGTAGATGTCATTGGGGAGAGGTGGTCCCTCAAATAACCCTCATCACTAAGCTTACGCTATAGTGCAATGTACAAATGAAACCCACACAGGCTTTTGATAGTTTAACAAAATGAGTTCATAATTTATTTTTTTTTGAGATGATACAACTTCAGGTCCACACATGGCGCAAAGCCATAAAGTGTCAGTGTTTATTACTAAGTGTTTTTATATCTCCTGATCTTGATTTTTGCAATTTATAATCATCCAAAAATAGAAAGCAGGCCATAAATTGAAATAAATACAAGCTATTTTCCAAAATTTTACTACGTTATTGGGAGGCAACCTAGAAATCAGAATGTTGATAGGGCTAGCATAATCCACAAATTATACAAAGCATTTTAGAGGCATTTATTGTAAACTGGAAAAATTAAAATGGTTAAAACTCACTAGGTTAGGTTATGAATGGTTCTCAAACGTCTGATGGTTAAATGTAATTCAGAAATATATTTTACAAAAAAGGGGCAAAAGCTATATTAAATTCATAAAATAAAGTTTAAACAGGAGACTAAAACAGGTGACACAGAGCATGCTAGATTAAAATGAGGTTGGCTAGTTTCTGCTGCATTATGGATCTAGCTTGTATTTTATCAAGTGTCATGCAAATCCTGACACCTGACTTAATTCAAGAGACCATTGTTTAACTAATAATGTGTTGTGCACATACAGCTAATACTTGTAAAAGAGAAAAGAGGCTTAAGAGAGGCATCACTTCCAAATATATTTAATAGGTTTTCATATTCTGTTTCTCTACTCTCAATTTCACATTTTTGAAATTACAAAACCCCAACAGCAACAATAACCGTGCACCGCCTATTTGCTGATGCTAAAACCTGGATGAATGCATATTTATTTATTTAATTCAACTTAGGTACCACCGGACTCCAGAGTGACTCTAGGCAGCTCACAATATAACAGCAATAAAAATGCAACACAAAACAAACCAAGGTGGAATCTGGTCGCTCTATGCAAAACATAGACAAAAGTACATCCAAACAAGGGGCTCCGTTCATCATACTTTATTAGTATTGATCCAGATGCTGATCGTTCAACAGTAGCGAATAGAACACAGGCACCTATTGCTACTTTTCTGTACTAAGTTAATGTGTGAGGGAGCAGGTATGTGAGGAATCTGCTTTTCATAACTTCTATTTGGTGTGTAACTACTGAAAGATACAAAGCTGTTTATCCATGATATAATGCATTCGGGAATTATGAATACTGCTTGTTGAACATAAATCGCACTGTATATTATACACGTTGGAGATCTCCTTACACTAGTGTGAGTAAGCTTGCTTGCTTGCTTGCTTATTTATTAAATTTGTATGCTGCCCATCTCCCCCAGAGGGATATTTGCCTCAGAAAAACTGTAAATGCACCATATAAGCTAATGCTAGTGATGTGATGATACCCATTATAAAAGTGATAATGTGTGTCAAACCTAGTGTTATGGAAAAAGGCTTAAATCATATTTTAACATGCTGTATGATCTGGATCAAAAAAAGATCACAGTGCAGCACGGTGCCTTGGGGCAGGGGGAAT